TAAAGCTGTGTCTAAACTGGATTATACATGCAGACATTCATAGGAGGAGTTTTAAAGTGCTAATTAGCCATTCAGAGAACTTCTGATTCTATTTCTGAATATGAAAAAAGTCATAATACCTCGGAGACCTCATAGCTGGCCATTTATATCGCAATTAACGTTTCTTGCTGTGTTGCCAGGTATTGCTACAGAAGCAAGCAAAAACAAGCCGCCCCAAAAATAGTATAAACCAAAAAAAATGCAAAATGAAGATATCGTTAACCTGCAACTTCCCACTTTTTTTGAGTTCCTAAAGTGTCACATTAAGCGGGAAAAAAGACGCCTTATAATAACTGGATCTGGCAACACAGCAGAGGCTGTGCCTGCTCTCTCAACCCCCCGTTCACACCACAGACACCGAACAATCTAGGCAAACCGTCTAAACTGAATTATACATGCAGACATTCATAGGAGTTTTAAAGTGCTAATTAGCCATTCAGAGAACGTCTGATTCTATTTCTGAATATGAAAAAAGTCATAATTCCTCGGAGACCTCATAGCTGGCCATTTATATCGCAATTAACGTTTCTTGCTTGAGAATCTCGCTGCCTTGTTAGAAGGCAGCTCACTAGGTTTTGGAACGGAGCCTTTGTTCTGTCTCAAACGCGCAGCCGCTTCTTCAGTCTGGTGAAGTCTTTCGCCGATCTCCACAGCCAGCTCTGCAGCTCTCGCAGAACCCAGAATCCCTCCACCTTCCGTGAGAAGTCATTCGGGACGGGATGGGACGACAACACGGGGGCCGCCAGCAAAGAGTGAACCTCAGCGTACTGATACAGAAGCGAGAGAGGAGAGAGGCCGGCTTGAGATGAGGGAATGGAGCGAATAGGTCGACGAAGTTGCAGAGATGGCGACGAAAAGAGTACGGGATGCTTTCTGTATCCATCTCCGAATTTTAAAGCTGTGTAGTTCATGTTCAGTTGTATCGTTTTCTCTTCGTCCACACTCAATAGTCTTCTCCGTTTGCCCCATCTCTCCATTCCTTCCTCCTTCTCTCCCTCCTCTTTGCTCTCTCCTTCTTTTCTCCTTCCTCTCCTGCCCCTCTCTCTGTCCCGCTTGAGATCCGCCCGAGTCGTTCCCTCTCTCACGCCCGAGGCGGGCTGAATGCCTCGAGGCACGTAACTCCGCAGAGGAGCGGGGCTGTTCTCGCTCACGCCCTGAAACTGTGAGGACAGAAGTGGGGCGTATCCATGAGCGGGCGTGGAGGGCGGGAGGCTGGTGTAGCCCAGGGCGTTCATCAGACCGGATATGGAGCCCAGCAGTCCGCTGAGGCCGGAGCAGAAGTGCAGGAGGGAGCTCTGGAGGTACGGACACAGGGTGGAGCGCGCCAGCTCCCTCACGGCGCACAGGAGAACGCTGTACGCGTGCTGGTTCTGCGCCAGACGGGCGCCGTTCTCCAGCCCTCGCCACAAGTCCACCCGCGTGGCTGCGCTGGGAACGGACAGAGAGGAGCTGTTGGGACGTGGAGGGGAGAAGCCGGGATCGCTGAATGGAGGGCCAAGATAGGACAGCTGGGGACCAGAGATGAGGAGAAAACATATTAATCAACATGCGAATCTGTTGCATTTTGGATGTCCTTTTAGAGTTATATAAAAGACCCCTTAAAGGGTTAGTTCACCCAAAATGAAAATTCTGTCATTAATTACTCGCCCTCATGTCGTTCCAGACCCATAAGACCTTCGTTCATCTTCGGAACGCAAATTAAGATATTTTTGATGAGTTCCCAGAGCTCTCTGACTCTCCCATAGACAGCAATGTAATTACCACGATCAAGGTCCAGAAACGTAGCAAGGAGATCTGTAAAATAATCCATGTGACATCAGGGGTTCAACCGTAATTTTACTAAGCTACGAGAATACTTTTTGCACTCAAAGAAAACTAAAATAACGATTTTATTCAACAATTCGTCTCCTCTGCATCACCCTGTAGCGCCATT